TTTCTTTCTTTCTTTCTTTCTTTCTTTCTTTCTTTCTTTCTTTCTTTTTTCCCTGCTTTCTTCCTACCTGAGCAGAACATTAAAATGGCACAGACTTTGATGATGATTCTGGCTGGTCTATCGCTGCAGAACTGTTTCAACAAATTAGTAAAATCCATAGCAACAGAAAAGGCAGCATTGCACAGCCGTGAACGCCCATGTGCATTCAAGTTTGCCCTTTCCAGCTACCTATGGGTCCTCCCAACACTCTCTCTCGACCCATATGATGGGCACAAGATAATGGATTGACTACTCCAATTTCAGCCCATGACAACCACAGACTCCAATAGCATGGAGATCAAGGGAAGGGGATGATTAAAAAAAAATACCTTGCCATAAAACATGAGACCTGCAGTATAGGATAAGCACTATTTTTCAGTCTACACCTCTCAGTCCCTCGGAAATGAATTATACACCACAATTCTGGAAGGATTCAATGGGCTTTTTTCCAGGGATTAATACATTAGGAAATGGGCTATCATCAGGCTGTGCCCTGGTTACCCCGAGAAAAACAGAAGCAAAAGACAAGTGGACATTCTTTTAACACAGACCTTTGGAGAACATCTCTTCTAAATGATTCAGCATGTGTTTTCACAGAAATCTAAACAGTAGAAGACATCTCCAAATTTCCCTGTAGGCCTCAATCTGATTCAGAAGCCCTTTTAAAAGAGGCATTCATCAAGAACCATGGTGGCGCAGTGTTAGAATGCAGTACTGCAGGCTACTTCTGCTGACTGCTGGCTGCCTATATTTTGGCAATTTGATTCTCACCAGTTCAAGTTGATTCAGCCTTCCAGCCTTTTGGGGTGGGTAAAATGAGGACCCAGATTGTTGGGGGCAGTATGCTGAATCTGTAAACTGCTTAGAGAGGGCTGTAAAGCATTGTGAAGTAGTATATAAGCCTAAGTGCTATTGCTAGTGCTTCCTTTTTCAATAAGAACCAAACAAATTCACAAAGAGAAAGTCAACAATAAATGTATCAGCTAAAGAACCTACTGTGCTCCAGGCTTCCAAAGCTATCTCTTCAAGTTATTGGCCTGCTCGTCGATCTTGTGTTCATATAAATATGAAGTACTTCCACTTGGACTCCAAAATCATAGATAAAGGAGGCATTATCTAGTGATAAGAATAAAAGGATTAGGTCCATAAGCCACCTAAGTAGCAATAACACCTTCTACAAATTTATTGTTACAGTTAGAACTATTAAGAGCTTAATGTCCTAGGAGGATTAGCAATTTAATCCTACAACCACACCACCACCCAAAATCACCTTCTTATTTTTTCCTTAAAATTTGTCCAAATAGCTATCAAAAGCATATGGGAATTTGGTAGTGAAAAGGAATAAGACAATTCAGCAAAAGGACAAGATAATAGGAACTAAAAACTAGTCTTTTTGTTAGAATCATCCAAACTTCCTACTTGGAATCACCAAACCTTTGCTATTCTTCATTTGAATATGTAGGCGAAAATTCTGGGAAGAATTCATTTTTATATAGGTTAATAAAAGTTACTCTGTTGGCTCCTGGTTTAACCTAATGATGCAAATTCTGGGATTGATAAATTTGGACGATTCCATATTACAGTCCCTCCTTATCTTGTTTAATTCATCTGCAGGCCTTTCAGATTTTTATACAATTCCTTCAGTGGATCTTTCAAGTGTACTTATCATGGTCTCAACCATTGTTCCGGCAAATGGTGAAGACTCACGAACATAGCATTCAGTGTTTTTATTAGACATGGTTCTAATGACAACAGCTATTTCTGTCCTGCTTGTACCACTACTCAAGAATCAACTACTAATAGCAGGATTTCTAGTTAAGCTCAGTGACCTGAAGATATCTAATTTTTCTACAACTGCCCTTGCCAATTCATTCATGAATAAGTTTCTGCTGTGGGATAGATGATGTCCCAGTTATATGTCATCCCAAATGTTTCTCATATGGTTGAGAAACAGTCTAGATTTAGAACCAGGGCCGAGTTCAAGTATTTGTTTACATTTAGTATATGATTTATACTATAGATATCCATTAGAACTATTCTAGTCCTTGAAGCAGTTGGAAATGAATCAGAGAAATAGAAAAATTAGAATATTCAATCCAAAGAATGATCTTACAAGTAATTCTGCACATTACTGATATCACGTGTCATACTTTGGAACAGTTAAATTAATATCTCTCCAAAAGGTTTTTAATATAATGATAGATATGATAATATGTACAGACATCATGCAAAATTTTCTTTTTTCCTCTCTTTTAGCAATATACTTCGTTCATTTCTTCATTCAGATAGGTATTTTTCCCCACACAGATATGGTGGTTTCAGCCTCAGAATTTTTTCTTTTCTTATTTCATCCTCCTCTACTTCAGAGGAGCTCTCTCTTCTCTGTTTATCCCATCTTTCTTTTTTTGGAGAAATGTAACCCTGGGGGCATTTACATTAATTGCTTAGGCTTCTTTAGAAAAGACTGTGGAGATTATTTGCCGAAAGCCTTGTTAGTTTTTTTCTGGGGATGTCAGTGCATGCTAAAAGGCATGAGGTAACTTAGCTTTACTTTGCAATAGATGTGCAGAACAGTTTTACTGTGTGCTACTATTTCCTGACATTCCTACTCTGGCTACAGTATTTTTTAAGGGTGAAAACACCACCAAAGTCATCATTATGTGGATCCTGTGATATAATACTCTGCTGGAATTAAAAACTGGAATCAAAAAGCTGACCTGGACAATTTGGACCAAAACCCATGAAAACTGATGCTTATTTGTCATGCATTACATTTCTGTAGTGATACTGATAGATTACACCTCGCCCACAGAAATGGAGGCAAAGGTTTATCTCAAGTCGAACAAAGAGTTGAAGAAAAGCAAGCACTGGCTGATTATGTAAAATAAATCTCAGAAACAAGCATTGATGCAAGTTAAAAACGGATACTTTACTGAACGTGTAGAAAACAAAACACGAATATCCAAATAATACAATAAAAATACGAACAGAATGCTGGCAAGGAAAAGCATGACACAGTCAATTTTCTACAAAACATTGAGCGGGAAAAGGGAATAAAAAAATCAAGCCTGGCAATGGCTTATAGCTGAAACATTCAAACAAAACAAAACTTGAAGGCTTGATTTCGGTTGCATCCGGCCCGTGGCCCGCCAGTTTGACACCCCTGCTAAATTCTGCTTCATCGAGAACAGTGGGAGTCTTTTAACCCAACTGCCCTACATCCTCAACGTTGTGTAGCCTGTCCACCTATTAAGGTTCTGAACACTTCTCAAGGGCAGCCCAGGCAGAGTGCTTTGTGGCAGTTATGTAAGCAGGATATCTGGGTTCCTGGAGAGCAATAAGAAAAGAAAAGGAAGTCACACACCAGCCACGCTAACCATTTTCCTTTGTATCATATTTTCCCAGATATTTCGAATTATAACACCCCAAATTTTCCCCCCAGGAAGGCAAAGGGAAGGGTTCCTGTTTACAATAAAACAGAACGGAAACTTCACAGTGCCACATTTGCCAAAGCAGGAACTCTGTCCTCATTATAAGTTTCTGTCGGATGACACTTAGCTCTCGCTCTTAAAAATGAATTCTGAGGCTGGGTGAGTAACTGAGTGGAGTTGTTCCCCCCCGCTCCCCGCAAAAAAAATACAATTAAACTTTTAAAAATGCAATTAACACTAAGAGCATCATATTAGTTCTGTGAAGGCAAATACCTTCCAAATATTTAAACTAGAATGCCCACAAGCTTCATCCAGCATAATTTAAAAACTTCCAATAATTATGGAAATTGTAACCTTAAATATCGAGGGGCACACAATTTGTGCATGTGTCTGGCAACAAAATGAAAGACCATTCATGCACTGTTCAGCTGATCTGTATTTCTGACATAAATAGCAGAAAAAAATTCTCACATTGCATTGCAATTATTGTAATAGATGTTTTAGAAGTTTCTCCAATCATATCATGTGTGAATTCAGACGGATGCCCATTTTGTTAAGTTTTTCCTCAACATCTCTCTACAATAGCTAGTATTGCCGCTTCATTGAAACCACATCCTAGATTGCTCAATTCTGTGCTTCTATTTCTTCTAGTCATCCCACCTGTGACTCAAGATTCGTGCTAACCTAGGTGATCACCAATATTATTGGCATTATATTATTTGTTATATAAATTATTGTTTTTATGCCTGCTTTTTACTTACTTACATCTGTAATTGTAGTATATGCGTTCAATACAGCACTTTCTAGCCTAGGGGCCATAATAAAGCTTTGTATTCACAAATCATTGAGAGGCTGTAAATATTGGAATTGTGCACAGTTCAGAGAGGGGTGGTGCAGGTTTTTCTGCAGAGCTGTCTTCTCAAATAATCCCTGATCTGTGACAAACCTGTTTATATTCCAGAGATTGTCACTTCTCTTTGGTGGCATGGCACAGAATTATAGCGAGAATTTGAATTAATTTCTGCTTCCCATCAGTTTAGATGTATGGCCGATCCTTGCATTTAAGACCACTGCAGCTTCTCCACAGTCATATGATCTTAATTCAAGTGTTTGGCTGCCGGCATGTAATTACAATGGTTGCAGTGTCCTGGAATTGTCATCACTATTTGCAACCTCAACTGGCATCCAACAAGTAAAGTCGGTGGAAGAAGCTAGATTCACTTAATGATTGCATGGTTCACTTAACCATGGCAAGGTGGTCATAAAATTGGGTGTGACTCACTTAACTTGCTTAAAAGCAGAAATGCTTGCCCAAATTGTGGTCATAAGTTGCGGACTATCTTACTTTTATATTTTCTCTCTTATCTCAATTCTCTGATATTTTGAAAAGTCCTCCTTCATTCTGAAAAAATCTTGTATATCTTTAGATCTTTTGATTAAGTCTAATAGGTGCTTAAGTCTAATAGCTGTAAAAGGTGCTTTTTCCCCTCTGTTTTATGCATGAGTATTATCTCATCTTAAACTTACTTCAAATTGGTTCAGCTAGTTCTTGCTCTGCGGATCCCTTTTCTACAGACTCAAACTCAAGTTGCTTTTTAGTTCATCGTATAAACACTTCCTTATAACTGAATCCAAGATTGAGGCTGCAGTGCTGTGTTGTGTATGTGCGTGTGTTCACACACAAACACACATTTACCACCAGTTGTAAGGGTTTTTAACCTATGGTCCATGGACTGTTGGGTGTCTATGGATAGATTTCAGAGGATTCTTGAACTAGAATGCGGAGGGATTACAACTTGATTTTTGTCACTTTATGCATTTAAATATTTCTTTTTCTGAAAAGACTTTTATAGCTTTGACCAGATTTTCAAAGAGGTTGATGGGAGAAAAATATTAAGGACCCCAGTGGATCCATGTAACTAAAAAATAAATCTTTGAGTGGTGCAAAAATTTACAAATATGGAGCAGAAATGGGTTCAAATCATTTGAAATGTATGTATAGTTCTTATAGGGCATAATCTGAAGGCAGTGAAGTTATTTAATATTTTTTTGTGAATTCTTATCCAATAACTCAGCTGTAATCAGTTCAGACTGAGAGACCAAGTAGTAAATATTTGGAGCTCATATTGAAAAGATTCTGGAAAGGGATTTGGCATAAGCGTCAAAGTTAACTACTGTAGAATTGCCATATGTGGACCTAAAGTGAATTTTCTTCTTTGTCAGAGGGATTTCCTTTTTGTCTGTAACACAACTTGTCCATTCTGCACTTTCATATTTGATACTCTCATACTGAGCACTCTGCGAAGGACATGTAAATAGCAGAGTCACCATCTTCCAGAAAACTCTTTTTAATCCAGCTTTATTTTTTGAAATTCAGATCTCAAATAGCAGTTGGATATTTTTGTTTTCAGGGTTCGTCAGTTAAGCAATGGAAAGGCTCCATTGTTGGGCATTAATCGGCCTTGATGGAGCCTTGCTTCCTGCCACAGTGCCCAATAACCAGTTGGAATGAGGAAGCTTGTCTACAATGAAATATAATTCAGAGATGAACCAGACATCACTGCTTGGACAGTTTATGTCAAAAAATGTTATTTATGATGCATAACAGAAAAAGGCAACAGACATTGTTTTCCCAGTGGGCTGAGTATAGAGCAATAATGATGCTGTGTAAACCTGCCCTTAGGGCAGTGCCCCATTCTTCCATAGAAGAAGGCTGGTCATGTGGACTAGCCCTAAAAGTCTTCTTAATATTCTTTTCCAAGATTCCTACATTATTTATTGATAGGAAACCTATTGTTTCTGAGTATATTTTTCAGAAGAACTGGTCAAAAATTCCTTAATCTAATGAGGTGTCCTCAGTCTTCTTAAGCTTATGATATCTTGAACAGCCAAGAATATTAGCAATATGTAAAACACAGAGTAAATAGACACCATTTAAATCAAAGGAATATGCAAAACTAGTAGTAAATGTAACAGGCTGTCTCAAAAGTTTTTAAAAATTGGGAAGAGAGCCTGTGATTTAAACACGGTGAGTAGACTTGGAACTATATGGCATCATCCATGGTGGCGCAGTGGTTAGAATGTAGTACTGCATACTACTTCTGCTGACTGCGGGTTGCCTGCAATTCAGCAGTTCAGCCCTCAGTGGCGCAAAGTTGACTCAGCCTTCCATCCTGCCAAGGTCAGTAAAATGAGGACCCAGATTGTTGGGGGCAATATGCTGACTCTGTAAACTGCTTAGAGAGGGCTGTAAAAGCACTGTGAAGCGGTATATAAATCTAAGTGTTATTGCTATTACTATAATATTCCCTACAAAACTATTTTGGTCAGTCATCTAGGATTCTCTAGGAAAATAATTCATCAACAGTATTATTTCTTTGAAGCTGTGTTTTGTCGAAGTTTGCTGTTCCGCTTGAGGAAGTATAGTTGAACATTTTAAAGGATATTGGGAAAAGTACATTATTAGTGATAATTAATTATTTTGGAACAACAATGAGCAGCAAAGATTCTTGAATTAAGGACTGCTTTACTCTCGCCTACTCCATTTATATTAAATTACATCTGTCTATGCAATGTGTATGTTTTTGTAAACAGAAATATGGAATATGGATGTTTAAAACTCTGTATCTGCTTTTAAGATTACAGTCTCCCTTATGTATTCTTGCAAACTCTGCATCTTTTGAATATTTGCTTCTGCGTAGTTTTTGTTTGCTTGAAGTTCTTTATTTAGGCTTGCTTCTTATGCCTTCTAGACGCACAGTTTGTTTGGGGTTGAATTATTCTGGTTTAGGTACCGGATTTATCTAGCCAGTTTATATAACTGATTGACCCAGTTTTAATGTGTGCATGCTTAAAAAGATTGTAGTTGAATGTCATTGTAAAGGTCAGGTGTTTTTTTTTCAGATCTTTCCCGCCGCCAACCCGTTTTTGTCAATTTTTCTTTCCTTAGATCTGCAGAATTATTAATCTTGTATCATGCCAATGTTAATCATGCTGCTGAAAGAGGAGAGACTCCTTTACATTTGGCCTGTAGAAATGGAAATATTGAATGTGTTAAACTTTTAGTGGAAGCTGGAGCAGATAGAAGTGCAAATACCTCTGTAAGTCTGAACTCTTTCTCAGTAAACGTTTCCGTTGAGATGTATCTTATTTTTGTTGGTTTGCTTTTAATCTCCTTCCTTTTGTTCAGGAGTTCAAGGTACATCTCTTCTTCCCCATCACAGAGGGATAGAATCAAGATCACGTGAAGTGTTAATTACCCCTTCATAATGCCTTGGAAAGACCACACTTTGAATACTGCATCCAATTTGGGTTGCCATGATGTAAAAAAGATGTTGAGATTCTAGAAAGAGCGCAGAGAAGAGCAACAAAGATGATTAGGGGACCAGAAATGAAAACATATAAAGAATAGTTGCCGGAATTGGGTATTTCTAGTTTAATGAAAAGAAGGACTGGTTATGACATGATAGCAGTGTTCTGATATCTCAGTGTTGCCACAAAGAAGAGGGGGTCAATCTATTCTCCAAAGCACCTGAGGGCAGGACAAGAAGTAGTGAATGGCAAATAATCAAGGAGAGAAGCAACCTAGAATTAAGGAGAAATTTTCTGACAGTTAGAGCAATTAATCAGTGGAACAATTTGCCTCCAGAAGTTGTGAATGCTCCAACACTGGAAGCTTTTAAGAAGAGATTGGACAATCATTTGTCTGAAATAGAATAGGGCAGTGGTGGCGAACCTATGGCCCGTGAACCTATGGCCATCTGAGCTTCACTGCGCATGTGCGCGTGCCTCCCTCCAGCCAGCTGGTCTTTGAGTCTCTGCTGTGCATGCATGGGGGGCAGGTCGCATGCGTGGGGGGCATGCATGCGTTGGGTGCAGACATGTGGGGGAGCAGAGCAGATGCAGGGGGTGCACGCATGCGTGGGATGCACACATGCACAAGGAGATGCGCCTGTTGCATTTTGGGGGTGCGCGTGTGTTTTGGGCAACTCGTGCCAAAAAGATTTGCCATCACTGGAATCGGGTTTCCTGCCTGGGCAGGAGGTTGGACTAGAAGATGTCCAAGGTCCCTTCTAACTCTGTTATTCTGTTATATATCTACTCATATTTACTCACTATAAATACCTATTCCATGACATTTTTGGAATAAAATAATATTTCATTTTTACATGGCAATCCTACCCCTGGGCTGCGACCTGTTTGGAACTGGGCCTTGCTGGTGGTGGGCAAGATCATGTGGTCTGCGCTTGCGCACGAAGCTTCCCTCATCCAAACGGGGGCCGTTCTCAAGTCACAAGGAAATATCCCCTCCCCCCCCAGCGGGCCACCAAGCCAGGTTGGGGACCGCTGCCTTAAACAAGTTTTAATTGACACTTTTCCTCCCAAGATTCCTGAAATAACTTTCTTTCCTATTTGCATACTCGGCAGCTATAAGATGAGAAGTGACATTGTTCACAATGTTTCTGTCGTCTTTCTTTGCATGATCTCCATGTGGAAGAGTTTTGTTTTATCTCTGCAACAAAACCTTGGGCACATCATATCACAATAAGACAAGGGCCTTTTATTGCTCTCCCCTTGAAGTTTGTCTAAAAACTTGCCCCACCTTAATTTTCTTCATGGAGTTACTCATTTTGTATTATGAAGCAGTGAAGACATTGTCACACTTTAAAGCCATACTCACAAAGGACACAATGAATAAAGGTGAATCTTGAATCAGATGAGCTGTTGTCCCATCGAAAGGAGTGTGTTGCACTATACAATATATAATGTGCTTTAAATATCCATTTTCTCCTCTCCATGCAGTATACGTTTCTATATCTAGACACAAGCAATCAAACATGTGCATGTGTTTAGATTGTGGCTACAGTGGCTTTTATGGTATAAGCTATTGCATTTCACAAAGAAACAATATATATCATGTAGACGTGATAGAATCTGACTTTGCTGCATGTTATAACTAATATGTGGGTGTGGGTGGGTGTATTAGATGCTTCCACATTGTGAGGAATGCTTTTTTCTTCAAAATTCAAGTGCAATCCCTGAATCCAGGGATATTTTTAAGGAATGTACAGTATTATTGTTTTGGCCAAGATAGTTTTTCATCCTATTTCTATAGACATGTGTATATGCACACACATATACCAAAAAAAATGTTCCTATTGTCTCATTTGGACCTTTTTGCTTACCTGCTGTTTCTCTTAATGTCCTGTCTCTAAAGCCTCTAAAGTATATCAATTTATATAATAATCAAATGAATATTATTGATAGGTAAATTAATTTGTATACACATAATTTCACATCAAAATCCCATTACATTTACCCAGCTGAACCACACTATTTAGCAAGCGTGTCAAATTTCATGAGCGGGCAGCAAATTCTTAGTTATTTGTTTTGTTTTTAATGCATGTTTAATATCCAAGAAATATTTATGGTAATTTATGCTGCAAAAATCAAGAAAGTAATAATATGGAAAATGGTATACTGGCAGCAAAATGTATGTGGTCAGTCATGCTGGTAAAATGTATTGTTTTTTTATTCATTTCCATTGAATTTCAGTCAAATGGTATAATGAATAATTATAGTTTTAATTACTTTGGGAGCATAATCCACAAGGCATAAAGAACTGTTTGAAATGGATCTTTAAAAGTAATATCAATATTATTCTTCCATCCTTTATTTGTAATTGCCTTTATGACAGGAGAAAAAAATCTAATTGGCAAAATTATTTCCCAATTAATCTTGACCACTTGACCTTTGACCTTGGATGAAAGACAAATTGGTGAAGGCAACTGTGTTTTGAAGAAACAGGTTGCGTTTTTTTGTCTGAATAAGAAACACTGGAAAATACTGCAGCTTATAATTTGCCATTTAAGGGCAGAGGAGCCTTATTCTGTCAGCTGAAATGTACTGATTGGGAAAAAGGGGAAGGATTAGTAATAAAAAGTGTAAGATTTATGTAACTTAAAGAGAACCCAGAGTACAGTAATAAAATAAATATATGCATTCAGAGGTTGGCTGTTTAAAATAAATAAATCAAACAAAATTAAAGTTTGAAAATTATTTCCAAAGGAGTTTTACTTCATTTGTGCTTTCTATTAAGCTAATGTAGAAAAAGACTTCTGGTACTGCATAGTGCCAAAAAATAATCATATACTTACATACATTATAAGATTTGCAATAATAACAATAACAACAACAACAACAACAACAACAACAACAACAACAATAATAATAATAATAATAATAATCAGCAAGGGTAGTACCAGTAGTAATAGGTGCCTTGGGTCCAGTCCCACAACAACTGGAGCATCATTTGAACGCCATAGGCATTGACAAATTTGCCATCAGTCAACTGCAGAAGGCAGTTTTACTTGGAACAGTTTCCATCCTGTGGCAATATCTGTAATACCATCAAACATCCAGATTTGCCTATCCCAGGTCCTTGGTAAGGACTCGATAGGTAGACAAAAATGCCAAACCCAGTCTGAACATCTGGCTGACTATGCGATGAATAATAATAATAAACATCCACCTGTCCCACCTCTTTGGGAAGGACTCGGTAAATCGATAAATATGCCAAGTTCGGTCTAAGCATCTGGCTGACTGTGCAACCAACCAGAATAATAAATTAAATATTTCACAAAGTTCCACTAATGAGTATAATTGTCTTACTGGTGAGCTGCACAATAGAAGTATCTACATAGCTGGCAATGACCAAATCCCAAAATTTGTTCCCCTATCAAGAAAAATACGATCCGTACCACAGAATTTACCAAGATTGTTTATTTTATCCAATAAAGAACAATAAGTTGGAAATCTGGCCCAAATACATGTGATCTACTGTCTGGAGGCCTTTTGAACCGATATTATTTAGAGATTAAGTGCAGTTTCTAAAATATCCAGCCAGCATGGTGAGGAATCTTCCAAATATTTATCCCTAGATCTAGCTCTAATCCCTAGATTTAGCATTCATTTTGCCCAAATTAATATATCTGTTTTACCTCTGAAACTGCTACAAAATTAAAAGGCCTGGGGGAGAAGAAATATGAGGGGCTTCCTCAGGGACATCTTATACTTTCTTATAACTTCAATCTTGTGTAGCTCACTAGTAGAGGTGAACCAATAGAATTATCACCTCCCATGCCACATTTAGATCTAAGTGAGGACATGAATTAAAATGCTTTGCTTTGATCATAAGAATTGCCTTTAAAAAAAACAGAACCAGTATATATGTTATAAACTGTTATATCTGTAACTGTAATAGTGGCTACAATATTTTAAGCAAATTAAAAAATACGTTATCCAGGGACATACCTCATATTTCTAGAAGTTGGTGTGCATAAAATAAAGTGGAAGTTAAAGAAAACAAATGCAAAACAAATGCATTTCTCTAAACAATAGAAATTGCTATGGTAAGCATGTATTTATACCTGCATCAATGTTCCCTTGTTATGATATTTTTTCTACATTTCCAAGGAATATAAGACATTCTTATCAATGAGCTTTCTGTATGATGCTTTTTTTAATGATTTTGCTCCATACAGCTAAAAGCAACCTTTGCACTCATTTTGCGCTATTTGCTAATTTATAGTCTTTTCTCTCCTTCTAAAAGCAGCAACTAGGGTCAAAAAGTCAGATAAACTATTTTCTTTTCTGATTAAATTCTGATATATGGAGGATAATAATAGGGAGTCTTTACCAAAAGTACTGCAAAAACATGAGTTATTAAGAAGAGAGCAGGTTTAAGAAAATGTTTGCTTATTTGTGCATTTGTTCCGTTCATTCATTCATTCATTCATTGTACCAATTCATTTATCTAGGATTCTGAGTTGTTTTAAATTTGTTTTTTAATTGATCTAGGATGGCTGGACTCCATTTCATGCTGCTGTTGATGCTGATAATGTTGATTGCCTAAAGTTTTTGATGTATTATGGAAAATCAAGAGATGGAAACTTTGAGAATGAAGCAGATACTAATAACATCTTGAGCTTAGAGAGTGAAGATTTATTTCGCCATCAAGCAAAGCCTGTTGTTTCTGCAGATCTCATCAACCATGTGAACAAAGATGGCTGGACTGCAGCCCACATAGCAGCGTCAAAAGGCTTTAAGGTCAATTTGTTTACCTGGCACATTGCTTAGGATATTGAGCAATCAAATTTAAATGACAATTGCGCTGGTATGCATGGCTGATATATTTGAGGCCAAATTTAATCTTAATTTAGGATGCTATTTACAAAGGGGATAAAGTTAGTTTGGGGAATAAACAATATGAATGTGTTGTCATGAAGATGAAGGACATGTAAACCAGTTTTAAGACCAGAATGATGGTTCAGGTAAATATCCTGCATTATAGAATTCAAAATTATCTAAACAAAAGACAAACATGAAAATTCTTTACAGATTCATTGTCACCAAAGGAAGATAAAGCAACTAGCTATTAATTGAATTCATTGAACAATTGTGGCCAATGTTGTGCCTTGAGGAACCAACAATAGGGATTGTTATTTCCTAATTGTTGGTTTATAAGATTACTTTCTAAATTCTATGCTATTTCTTATCCTGTAAGGGACATAATAAAAACATTTTAGCTGGGTATAATTGGAAAAACTAAATTAGATTTTCAAGTCATAGATCTTGTACCCCTATTGCCCCTTTGCAAGTGTCCTTTTAAAATAACTAACTCAAACTGGTGTGTTACTTGGCTAATTATATAAACTGCAGCGGACTTTACAGTAGCAACGGCTATATGTATAGACAGTGAAAAATTGCCTGGTTATAAACTGCCTTGTTTCCAACTTAAAGCAAAATACTTCTTAGACTTTTAAGCTAATAAACAATGATCAGGTTTATTACAATCAACTCATTGGGCTTTTGGCAAGCAGATACATAGATACATCTATAAATCATCTTTCCCCTCTAAAGTAAATGGATGCAGAGCATCACTTCCTCAAATCTGGTTTCTGTGGCATATATTTTTCCTATTCAATTATATCATAAAAAGCCTACACCATGGTCTTCTTCAGCTCAGTGCCTTTTGATAAACACTATAATTTCTATCACTTTGTATATCCGCTCCTAAGGAATAATGGGGTTTGTAATCTAATCCAGTCTATTTATTATCTGCATTAGTATTGCATTAATATTAATATATTGTTATTCTCTTTCCAGAGCTGCCTAGAAGTTTTATGTAGCCATGAGGGACTGGAGGCTGAAAGAAAAGATAAGTGTAACCGAACACTACATGATGTTGCTACTGATGATTGCAAACATCTTCTAGAGAACTTGAGTAAGTTAACAGTCTCATACTCGTACTGAGGACCTGAATGTTTCTGTAAAACCCATAAAGTCTGCACAATTACCACATGGTGCAGAATATCCTACTAATTACAGATGTTAAGATTTCTCTCTGTTTCTATGCACTGTGACAATAGAGAATGTCCTCTGGCAGATAGCCTGAATGATGGAATGGTTGTGGTATTGTCGAAGGACTGGGTCCAAGTCCACTCTCAGCCATGGCTATTCACTGGCCCTGTTCCTTCGACAGGTTTGACTAGATCTTGTGGTTATAGGCAGTTTGTCATGACACTTTCATATAATAGTCTTTAGAGATTAAATTTACCCCCAAACAGATCTAATTTGTTTGAAATTAAATCAGGCTTCCCCTAGCCATCCTTATCCAAAATACCAACGGAGCATAAAATGCTCCTTATCCAAAGACCATCCTAGGCGGCCCTTGAGCTATGGAGCTGCTGTAGTAATTCCTTGCTGGCATAGTTTGGGCTCTCTCCCACAGCCAGATGGGAAATAATGGGACTATGAAAATAGATGAGATGCATGCAATCCATGCTGGTGATAATTGTTATCCTAGCACAACGGATGCATTTGTTTGTTCTTGCTCTGCCAAGAGAAGAAAGAAAAGAGGTGAGGTGAGAAAAGTCAACTTTTGAGAGGAATGTTGGAACGGCTTGGGCTGTTCACATCATGCCAAAGAGAGAAACTGTGCCAGTTTCTGTTTATCAGTCCAACCTACTTTACATAATTGTTTTGTGAGAGAAAATTTGAAAAGGTAAAAGATTTCTATGCCATTTGAAGCTCCTTGCGGAAAACAGGATGTAAACCTCTCTATCTCTCTGTGGAGATGGCCTAAAATATTTTTAAAATAAGGATGGATCTTGTAAGTAGAAGGTAAACTATGCTGTGACATTTCAGACATTCCTCATGTAACCATTTTTATGGTGTTTGCACTCATTTCTTTTGAGCCATCTTTGTCAGAGATTTTCAGACTTGCCTTGCCATAATTTTTAGCCATACATGGTACAGATTGAAGGCACATTAGAGCACCGTTGATTATTGGCGACATTTAATCATTTTAGCACTAATCACATTCTTTTATGTCCCGCTATTAAAGAGAAGTTGTATAAATTGCTCATTATTTCATGCCAAATTTATATTTTTTCAAGGTAATTCAGTGAGAGGATATCATTATTTCAATTTTGCAGACCAATCTTATAGTTAGTTGTTCAGGGTTTTCCACTGAGACTCTTCTCAATTGCATTGCTCGTGGCTTCTTGCCAGTTTATAATCATGTTACTCAAATGCAAACGTGAGATGCATCCTTTGAAAAGACGGGTACTTCTCCTGTCCCAGGGATACTGTTATTCTATTATCCGGAATTTGGAAAACAGACAGAGAAAATTCACCATATAGGCTCTTCTTGTAAACACCCCTTTGAGCCCTGTGGTTTGGCAGAGCTCCTCTGTCCCATTTAAAAATTGAGCAGTCTGAAGTAGCATATCTAGACACCTAAATTAGCATGGAATGGATTTTTCCCCAAGACACTCTCACCTGGAACTTTGAATGGGAGGGTTAATCAGGTTTTTAGCCTTTTTACATCAATTGAGAAATTGGCTTATGCAGTAGCAAAATATCTTCGAGCTTTTACCAGAGCATCTATTGTAGCAAACCACAACCAGCATTTTAAATGAAGGAATAAAGTAGATTTTCCCTACCAAAGCAAGAAAAAAAAAAGAATGTGCAGAATACAGGCTGTGCTGAAGAAAATAATTTTAAGGTATTTACTTTCGCTATTCGTTGCAACTTTCTTTCCTTAACCATATACATTTGGAATGCCATCCCACTTCACAGCCCAGCAAAAATTGGCAGGAGTGTTTGGGGAGAAAATATAATCTAATGATTTCAATAATTTTCCTTTTTTATTTTCTTTAGAGCTGAAGTGTGTGTGTCTGTGTGTGTGTGCGTGTGTGCAAACATACACGCACATAGGCACATGCACATAAGCGTGCTGCTGTATAGGGCAGCTTATCAAAAAGTGATTAGTAGAAATGCATGTGTATTTTAATAGTATTCTAAGTAAACATGTTTTTAGTTTGGGATTATCTGAACAGAAGAAAGAAATCCTACTTCTACACTTTTTGTTTTTGTACTTAATAGTTAGGCCAGCATTCCTCAATTAGATGACTTGTATGTATAAGTTGGATGACAATTATCATAAAGATTAGTAAATATGAGCTCTCTGGGGATTGTCAGATTTGTAATCCCAATATATTTGAAGGATGCCAAGTTAGGGAAAGCTGATATACAGTAGGATAAGTTAATATTAGAGCAGAAGCCTTCACACGATATAGAATTTATGATTTGGCTAGAATCACAATAATATGGTAGGATATTCTTGGAATTTAAAATAGGGGAAGCAATGGCCTTCCTGGTTTTTCTTTTGTACAAAGGTACTGTAAAAACCGACTAAAATACAAGTAATACGGACAAAGGTGAAAAGAGCTGATTAAAAGTAAGTACATACTTTAAAAGGTAAACGCTCTCTTGAACTCAGCTTGATTTTTATTAAGTGAAACATATCCGTGCAGTTTTCTACATATTGTAGCTATTGTCCAATTTCCCGTTTTAACCTACATCCCTGAATTTTTCCACAATGGGTGAGGCTAGATAGGAAGGAAAAGGACAACAAGAATCTACCAATCAACCAATCACCGCCCCGAAAGAATATCCCCACCCCGTTACATTATTTGTGGGCAGCAACACTTTTGGGCCTTATCATCAAGATATGTAAAAGTTGGAGCATTGCAATCGATTAAAAAGTTTCCTTCCAGCATGGCTGTGAGGATTCTTCACACTCTTTTCATTTCCGAAGCATCACGCGAAGCATGAAATGAAAATATAAATTTGTAATATTTCACCTTTTCGTCAGATTTTAATTACAACTTTCAGGTGATCTCTCCAGCCATAATGTTTTTAAACTGTGTGATGCAAATGGCTACCGTACTATCCATTATGACTTGAGGCATTTTAGATATATTTGATATTCATCTAACAAAAGAAAAGAATCATACAATAATCAGATATTATGAAGCTAGATCTGAGACCACCGTTGGATAAGTTTTTGCTGTAAAGTGAAGTAATTTTTATTTGAAAAATCATTGTTTCTCTTGGAATCATATTTTAATGTATCTGCAGAACTAGCTTTGGATCCAAGGCATTTGAAAATGTACTGGTAAATGCTATGCCTCTGTTGCAGACCTATTCAGATTTCAAATTCTACTTAAACAGATGCTTTTAAAATCCCTTTACGGATTGCTGCAACCCAGATGGAGAAAACTTGCTGTGGCATGGATGATCCTGATATAGAAAATATAGTATGGATGTTAAATATACGAAAACAGACAACCTGGGATGATTTTTCCAAAGCAGTGACTCAGGCGGTGACAAACCATTTCCAAGCAATCGCCTCTGATGAATGGACAAGCCTGGAAGATTTGACATCTAATAACACCACAGAATTCAGTATCGGCCTCACTGCGAGCAGTATATTATCCATCAAACTGGGTAAGCGCTGGTGTTTCGCAGATCTTTCACATGTAAAAACTACCTTGAATAAAGCTAAGCCAGTTATAAGAAGCTGGTAAAATATAAAGTCTGTCTTCAGATTTAACACTCACCAAAGAAATCAAGGAAAACTTCTCTATTATTTCCTGCATCTAAACCTATAATATAACATCACATTCAGCTGTAATGTTGATATTTGGCTTTTTTTAACTTACTGTCTTGTATTAACCCAGTCATTGATTTCTAAAGCACGATTCATGTTTTAGTGTGATATATGAAACCAACTGTGATTTATTCAGTGCACCACATTTTAATGTATCCTGATGTGTGATAATTCATTCTCTCCCCTCCCCCCCTTATAATCTGGTTTATTGGTTTAATTGTGAATTAATTTGAAACTATGATTCCTGGTGAGCATACCAGGACGAATTAGGGATTGGAATGGAGTCATCGTTTATTTTCTTAGTTTTATCCCATCTTTATTCTTTTTACAAACAACAAAAAATGATTAATACATCCAACACACCTTCCTCCTCTTATTTTTCCCACAACAACTCCGTGAGTTGGGTTCGGCTGAGAGAGGGAGAGAGAGAGAGAGGCCCAAAGTCACCCAGCTGACTTTCATGGTGAAGGCAGGACTAGAACTCAAGGTCTCCAGCTTTGTAGCCTGGTGCCTTAACCATAGACCAAGCTGGCTCTATTTTTTTACCTCAGTGAAAGAGAAAAAGGTGTGCATTAATCTAAAACATTTCTTGAAGTAATAGAAGTGATACCTGGGCTTTGAATTACATATGGAAAGGACAGTGAAGTTTCTTTACTTACCTTTATTTCAGTTTTCAAATATGCGGAAACTAATGGACTGTTCAGTTCCCCACATGAGTTGTACTGTAATCACTGTGGCAAATATAAAAATGTGTGTTGTATTATATAAATTGCATCATAATAGAGCTATCACGTGCTCTGGGTGTGTCTCTGAACTTTCTTTCTTTCTCAGGTAATGTTTCATGGTCGGTAGGTCAGACCTTTCCCCAGCCACCTTGGGAATTTTTGAGAAGCAATGAGGTGGAACACGTCCTCATATCTTTACTTGGTAAATTCATTTATTTTTGTCTGGCATCAAATATTACACGAACATTTTAATGAAAAATTATAGGATTGTTCATCTTCAATATATTCTTTTTTTAATTTTTAAAGTTGAATCCATTTCCTCGAATATGTTCACAATTAAAATGTGAAGTTCAGCTAGAACAGCTAATTTTTAAACATCTTTCTAGATAATTCTTTCTTAGCTTAATACACATCATATGCAAATTATTTGCAGTAATTGGTATTGAGCTACAATTTTATATTTTTCTCTTATAGAAATGAAAAATATGCAATAAGAAGGTTTTATTCCCACTATCATCATTCTGGTGGCTTTTCTATTCTCAGCCTCACCACCTTGAAACAACAGTTCTGTCGTACATTACAGATACTATAATTATTATAATTGTGTAATGTATCTAAAGAGGTTTGAATTTTCCAGAATGCTGCCGAAAGCATGCATAGAATTTTCTTGTTTTTCATTTTTATCCAATATAGGTAGAATAACTCACAGAGATTTTTTCAAGGCAGTTCGCATTAATTAATTTAATAAACACTATAGGTGCAGGTGAATGTTAATTTAATGCTTAGTTAAATTAATGTTAGTGTGTAATTTAATACTTAGGCCAGTGGTGGCAAAATGGGAGCGCATGCGTGCCAGAAACTGGGAGAGCAGTTTCCCGGTGCGCTGCACGGAAGCGCCAGAACCTGGAAACTCAGCTTCCTGGAGCGCACATGCGCACTGGCCATCTGGTCTTCTGGTTTCTAATGCAAATGCACATGTGAAGACCAGTGCATCAGGGAGCTGTTCTTCTGGTTTTCCAGTGCTCCTGTGCATGTGAAGACCAGCTGGCCAATGTGCATGCATGTGTTGGAACCTAGAAGAGCAATGGGAGACAGCTGGCATGCCCGAGGAGAGACGGCTCTGTGTGCCACTTCCGGCAGGTGTGCCCTATGTTCACCATCACGGACTTAGCCCCTCCTTAACTTGGAATTGTACTCATTACTCTTTCTCCTATTCTAGGTCCCCAAGAAGGATGTCTGCACAGTGTGACTTATGCATCGATGATCCATCTTCAGACTTTACAGAATTATCTCAGGCTGGTATGAAGATGCTTAATTTTTTCTAAAAATATTATATTTCTTTCCGCCTCACCACTTCTATAACTACGCTGAAATAAAATCCTATAAAATACTCTTTATTTCCTACCTAAGCGTTTGGGGAAAGGTCTATGGATATCTACTCCTGTCAGGACTCCCTGACATAAATGAGAAAAAGAGGATCAGGAACGGCTCAAGAATACTAAAGTTGAAGCCCACAGCTTGTAAAGGATGATACTTTGTCCACCCCTGATTTATAATATTAAGAAGCAGATTGTTTGTGACAAAAAAATAATTGCCAAATTATATTACAGCTTTAACTATTTGAATAACTGTGTGTCAACTTGTAACTGGAATATGTGACATTATTTTGAGGTTGGAAGGTTGTGTCTACTTCTCTCCCTTTGCCTATGAAATTTTTTATTTTCCCCCCTGGTTCCATTCAGTTGTCTTGAAGAAAATCTATATATATATGTGGTCACTAGAAGTTGATGCACATAATCAATTAATCATTTCATTGCTTGGAATAAATTGTGAAAAGAGTCGTTCAGGAGAAGCAGAAACTTTTTCCTGGACATTTGACTTTATATTGCTTGCTTCCTGTGTGTGAATCAAAACATTAACTATCCCTATCCCTAAACACTTATCTCTAAGATCACCAAGACTGGTGATCTAGTACGGTTTATATTCAGGTATATTCAAGGTGCTTTAATGAGGAAACAACATATATCAGCTGTCCCCATGTTCTGCTGCAAGATACGAAATCATAACGCTCACGACACCTGTAAGACAGGAATTCTGGCACTTGCAGAGAGCGAAGTGGCTCACGGGGTTAGGGCACCAGGCTGATGATTGTCAGGCTCACATTTCACTTAGTTGCTACCATGGGACCAGGTGAGCTCCTGTTACATGCTCCAGTTCCTGCTAACCCAACAGTCCAAAAGCAAGCAACTGCAAGTTGATAAAATGCCTGCAACTTAAGGGAGCACCTTAATAGGGATGTGAAGTGATGGCAGCAGTGATGTCACCATTCAGTCCTTTCAATCTAGAAGTTCTTCAGGGCTCCTGACACAGCTGCAGTTTGGGGTGGGGTGGGGGGTAGTTCAGCAATTTAATTCAAAATGTCCCAGCTCTAAGTGTACCTGTAGTCATTCTCCATTTTGATAGTTCTGTTGGCTTGAAAGGGTATGTAAGGGTATGTCATGGGAGTGTGATAACTTAAAATTTTACTGATAGATTCCTTGTTTCTAGAGCTTCCCAGTAAAAAATAATAATGTTAGGCTTCCAATCAGGCTGAATCTCCTCTAACATATTCTTAAAATCTAATCAGCTTTGTATTCTTGGCTCTACAACTAAAGGAATTGACCTGTTTAGGCACACTGACTGTTATTTTGTCTAGTGCTCAATTTCTGATGTTACAGGAAAGTTATTTTGCTAAAAATTAAGAAGCTGTTTCCTACCAACATTCATGAAAAACAAAAGATGAATGCCATCTATTTAGTCTTAGCATGAAAGCTAGCTAAACATAAGGAATCCACCTACCAGATGGTTTGTAGAGCACCATTATTCAATATAAAAGGAAAGGAAAGGAAGGGGTTTGTTAAATACTGGAATCCTATTCTTACTTTCCTGGTAATAAATCCAACTGAACTCTACTTTTGAGTATGTACATACACATTTACCCCATAGAACAATATGTGTGTCTACCTGTGTGTGCCTGTGTCTGTGTGTTTATTAATTTTGAAACAGACCTGCCCAAAATACCACCTCTTTGAATTGCGTATTGTACATATTATTGTGTTTCTCTCTAGGTGGAACAGTATCGTAATATTATCTTTCATGGTCCAGAAGGAAGTTTACAAGACTACGTGGCTTATCAGATAGCCCTATGTCTAAAGGTAAAAGGATAAAACTGCACAGCATTTGGAAAAATGAAAGGACATACTATTATTCTTTATTAAATTTGTAAATTTTTGACGTAGCACAAGCAACTGGCTGCAGGATTCTGCTGTGATATAGTCAAAGTGAAGATAGATGCTGATTTATCCAAGAAGCAACTTGCAGAAGTATTCATCAACAGTGGTATGAATTATTTCTGACTTTAAGCCATACACTTATTGATGCTTTCATTGGCAAAGCTACTTTTTAATTCAGAAAATCTCTGAGTTATCTAAAGTCTAAAGTAAAAACAAGTAATTATATGAAAGTACATTCCATTCAACACAACGGGACTTATTTCCAACAGAAATTGATTACATTATAAAGCAATGCTTTTATCAAAATTAAAAAGAGAGAGAGAGAGAGAGACAGGCACAATGAGAACTATTAGTGCTTTTCCGTGGATACTCATTAAATGTCATTCATTAACTGTTATAAAGAGTACAATGTTGGAAATAGTTTAGTTTTTTATTGATCTATTAATATGATATGGACATTAACATTTGGAGTCCCCTTGTGATGGAATACCCAGCTAGAGTGGAGGGGGGGGATGAAAAGACTGAAGAGCTTGGAGTCCTTGTAGGGAATGAAGCAAGGGAGTCCAGACCTCCTCCCCCCCCCCCAAGAACTGACTGTTACTAAGAGTATACAGTCAGTCTCACCAGATTGATGTCAGATGCAAGGGATCACCGTGAGCTGATCAGGGTTGCTTCTTTATTGTTGCCTTCCTATTTACAAGAATCTCAGCAGACTGAGTATATTTCCTTGGAAACATCCAGATAAAGGCTTCAGGATTTGTCATGGGGCTAGGGGGTGGAGTCTGGACTCCTGTCACTTCATTCCCTGGAAGGACTCCAACCTTACCAGTGTTTTCTATTCCTCCCTCCACTCTCATTGGAGAACCCACCACACCTCTGTGTGTATCTTTTTCTGCTGGTGATTCGTTATAATTAGAATAACAGACTTTTTCAGCGTATGGGCAACCATATAATTTTGTTCGTTGTGCTATCTTTAGAGCAGGGGTGTCAAATCAAGGCCCGGGGGCTGGATCTAGGCCACGGGGTACTTAGATCTGGCCCATGGGGGATCTCCCTGGAAACAGCAAAGGACCGGCTCGCGGTGCTTTTGCCAGCAAAAAACGGGCCCCTGAGCTCCGTTTTCGCTGGCAGAGGGTTGCAGGAGGCTGTGGAAGGTGTAAACGGAGCTTGGGAGTCCGTTTTCGCTGGCAGAGCGCTTGGGCAACCACAGGCACCCCTCAGATGAGTGACATTGAGCTGGCCACCCCCATCCTGGCCACCCCCACCCACCCCCTTGAGATCAAACACAACCCTGATGCGCCCCTCGATGAAATCAAGTTTGACACCTCTGCTTTAGAGCAGTCATCTTTCCTTCCCTTTTTTTTTTTACTCACGATTAAATAGATACCAGCTCTTCACTTTTGGTAATTCAGGTCGTTCCGTTCCCCCATCAAACAGAATAAGAATACCTTCTAGACTTGTGAAATGGACTTTCTTTGGCCAGACCCAATAAACGCTGTATATTTCCAGGTTGCTTGATTCCAGTGAAACAGCCTTCCATAAGTAACAGAATCATCATCATTTTAGAAAATTTAGAAAAAGCCTCCTTATCAGAATTACTCGGGGACTTCCTTCAACCTCTTGAAAATCGCGGCTTGGATAACCTCTACACTGTAAAAAAAGGTATAAAATGCATTATTTCCTTTGGATTGGTTGTAATCAGGAACTGAAGACAAAAGAAAGATTAAAAGAATAGGATTCTTATTTATTTCCGTCTTCTTCCTAGAGTGATTTTTAACTCATTGAATTGATTTATATTTGGATTGTGATTCTTTATACCAGACTTATATTTTAAAATTATTTCAGCCAATGGAGTATCACATGCGTATTACTTCCACGAGAATTGTTTCCTTATGGGGACCCTTGCAAAATCACGGCTTCAGGGCTCGGACTTGATGGTTCAGCAACATTTCCTCTGGGTTCAGCTAAGATGGGATGGAGAACCAATCCATGGCCTTCTGCGGAAATTCTTGCGAAGGAAGGTTTTAAGCAAGGTAGGAATCTGACATGTTTAAGTTTGAGACGGTTGTCCCACAACCGAATATATTTCATGCGATTATTAAAGTCAGCCTCACTTTATGTCAAGCTGATGCAGAAATAAACTTTTTTATGGATAAATTTTAGGAGTCATCACTATCAACAGCTGGTAATTTTCTAGAATCCAGAGGCAGACTGGTACACCGTGCTTTGTCATTTTTTAATAACATAGCTGCAGACTAATATCAGATTATGGTTCATCAGTGAGGTTGTCAAGCTATGTTAAGCTGACACTTACTGTATTATTGAATTGTTTCCAATGAAGTTCTTGCTGCTTTTAAAAAAAAAATTCCATGCTAGCTTATTTTTTTATCCTGATTCATAGTCAAACCACAGAATAAAAGATTGTCTTTGGGCATGTTACTCAAAAGCTACTGAGGTGAAGTATGGGTTTTTGGTTTTTGCAATAGAAGAGAATATGTGTAGTTCAGAGTTGAGCCACCACAGTAGGTTTTTTGCTGTGACTGCAGAATTTTTGCTAATAAGGCGAGTTCCAATCCTCAAGTCTAGCCAGTGAGAGATGGCACATCATCTTCTCTTCAAAGTGTAGTCATAAATATTGCTACTTAATGGAGAGAGTGAGAATGCCAATTCCTAGTGCTCTTCGATCTGCACTATTTATCAGACGTGTTCCTCAAAAGAAGCCATGTCTGGTTTACAGCGATTAAGAAGGACATTAATACATGGCAACCCCAAGATGGTTCCTTCACTGCAACTGAAAAGTTACTCATCAGTTTGTGATTTGCTATTTTAAAAAGGAAGCTAAGCTTACTGCGATTAGAACACTTACATTTTCCACTTTGGAATGTTCAGAGCCCACATATTATTACAATAATCACTACAATAGCCTGTATAAAGTAGGCTCAGTATGAGTCATTGCAATAATTGGCAGTTTGAGACTGAAGCTGAAATTTCCTGGTTCTCAATTCAGTTTCTGGCAGAATGTGGAGGGGAAAAAAAACATCTTAATGTAAATTTAAGATTTAAAAACGTTGGAGCATCACAACGCTCGCTTCAAATGTGGGACAAGGATAGCAATGCTACGGTAGTTTCATGGTCTTGTAGTTGATCCTAAGCCAAAAACAAGCCAGTTTGTTCTTCACTTTCTCCAGTTTGATTAACAACAATCCTCCAACCTTTCACACAGTAGAACCGTGTGCCAGCAATGGAAAAGGGGTCCCTTTCTTTGAAGTAGTCATACTCAGATAATCGAACAAGGGATAAAGGATAACTAAAGAGGAGATAAGAGTTTTCTTGGATAAACCCCAACTTTTGAGTCAGAAAATGCAGACCAAACTAGATGTTTTCCAAAACTAGCATAGTCAATGGCATTCCAGGAATGTCTAGGTAGAGGAGCTAGAAGAATCTCTAAATGCTATTCATATATTTCTTTTTACAGTACAGGTAGCTGTATTCTGTAATAAATTTACAGCCATACCCAAAGCCTTTATAATCTGTAAGATGTTTAGCCCCAATAGGAGCCTTAAGCGCTCTGGGAATATCAAGACTTTAGGTACAGTTTAACTTAAATCTGCAATATTACCTTATAATATATTGCCTTAACTGAATACTTATGTCAACTTCTTCCACATTTTGGACTTTGTTTCTATCTCTATTACACCTCTGAAGTGCTCTTGATTTTGTACAAATGTCATCATTAAGATGAGCCAAATTAGACATGTATATATATGCATGTGCCCATCACGGCAGCAGATTCACAAGGCAGCACATTCAAAACTGAATGAATAATTTTAAGTTGTTAACAGCACTTGGCTGATAGCATGTGAAAATGTGTGTTTCTGGCAGCTTATTAACAGTGTTACAGATTTAAGAGGATGTTTGTTTTGTAAGAGACATAAGATTATTTACCCTAAAAGTAATAGTGCTTTTATGTACAAGCTAATCAAATTACACTTAAATTATTATAGGGAGATGTCACCAGAAGGTGCAGAGGAAGAAATTTAATTCTTTATTGATAATCATGGATTGGCTCATGCAAAACTGAGATCTAAGCTGCAGAATTCTATTTATTGAGCTTTTATATCCTTCACATTGATTTGCCTTTATCACTATAAAAATATGTCTTAGCAGGACTGTTTGAGGGAAGCTTTGATTAATGGTGCCTGGTAACTGTCTTCGATTGATGGTACTCTCAAGAACACTAATAGGAGTAGCATCAATCACTATGAGAAATTTAGAAACGCCTAGAGGTTAGGAAGGCCAATGTCAGTAGTTCAGAGTGCTAGAAACCTGGTAGTTGACCCTCCCTGACATGCTACAACTGGTCCTACTTCTCAGCGCCAATTCATATATCCTTGGAGAAGGATATTTGGAGAAGGCCTTCAGAAAGCAATGGTCTAGAATCTTTTGTTAGTGATACTTACAAGTTCACATTTCTTCTTAGAAAAAAATGCTATGGACTTGTATACTTTTAAAAATTGAGAATTCTCAACAATTGAGCCAAATGTACATAAGTAGCTCCATTCCCCCATTATACTGAGTCAATCCCACCTTCTTAATTAAAAGGCTGGATTCCCTGCCCCCTCATTTTGCATTAAACCATATCTATCCTATCTGAAAGTTGCTCTCATTCCCATTTGGGCTAACTCTGCACCAAGCTCATTTGTGATCTGAGCCAATAAATTTACAACTCAACATGTGAATGTCTGAGAATTTTCTACATCATTAAATTAACTATTTTTCCTAACAACATTGTAATGGTGTGAATAGACAAAAGAGTCATTGGGAAAAATGTTTCTCTCCCACGTGCCTTTTATTTTTGCACAAATCATGATGTACATCCGTCACTTGCCCCAAGATCATCTCTGCAAGATGGTTTACTTTAAACAGCACATTCTGCAAGTGATCATTTGTGTGATATTATATCCTCTTGTGACTGCAGGTCAGTTGCGGAAAATCTGTGTAGCAAACATTTCTGTAAATGATTCCGTGGAAATTTAGCACAACAGTTTCATAGGATATTGACAAGGGTGTGTTTATTAGACTGTGCTGTTTCTGGATCCAGTCCAGTGGGATGGAAACTCCCACTGTAATCTGTAAGAATCTGTCTTTGCAAATATTTTGCTCATTCTCATAGAGCTTGTCCAGTTCTTCATTTATTATCATTGGCAGAACCAACAACACATAGTTTCAGCTATATACATATCAATGCAGATAGACCTTGCTGAACAATGTGAAACTGCTTGAAGTTACGAGGACACGGAATGAAGGGTAGTTAAGGCCAGTCTTCAAAGTTATAGTCACACAATCAAAACTCAAAGCACTTGGTAGCCTGCCCATATTTACAATGGCAATGTGTGCTGCAAATTCTTCCACCTGCCTTTGTCCCCTATCTCTGCCTTTTTGACCAGAATGCACTCTACTCTATATCTGCCACACTTGTTGCTCTAAGCTGAACTTTGCTATCTTCCACTGCTGATGAGGCACACCCAGCTGAGGCAGCCGCTGGCCCTTTGCAAGGCAACTGGAAAGGTGTTTGGTCTCTGATGCCCGTTTCACCCAGTTAAAGAATGCAGACGTAAGAGTATTAGTAGTATATCGATTGTGAATCCAGTTACCATTACCTGAGGACTTCCTTTTTGAGAACATACCGATACAAACGGCAGAAGGAGAGCTGTATTACTCTACAGCAGCCAAAAATCAGAAGACGTCTGATAACCTCTTTATCGAGTAATACATTCCAAGAAAATTCTAGCTGCCCAGGGTAGCCCCACAGCGAGATAGGTGGCAAAGAATGGAGTGGAGTGGAATGGAAAGGAGAGAGGAGTGAAGAGGAGGGGGGAGAGGAGTAGAGTGGAGTAAACTAGAGTAGGTTTTTGTGAACTACAACTCACTTATTCAGAGGGAGCTAGGGGAGAAGGAAGGAATTGTCTAATATTCATTCATCAAGTAAAAACACTCATTGCAGTTTACAGCAATACAACAACTGTTCAGATAATTAATCCATGGTAAACATAATTAGAAATCAAAGCTAATAATAGTAGAAGCAACACAACAAAAATACAAGGATGAGCAAGATGGAATTATTATTGTTTAAATCAGCAAAATTAATTATTCATGAAATAAATAGTTTGAAAGAAAGAATTTCTGAAAGGAGGATTATGTTACCTTTGGTTATAAAGTAGAATTGAGAAACAGTACTTTATGTTTGAGTTTTAAAGTCTGTGTCATATTTTTCTGCATTGGGGGGGCAAGAGCAAATCATTTAGAGTCATTTTTCTTTGGGATAAATACAGTATTTGTAACACACTTAAAGGAAGACGTTTATACTGGTAATCACAACTTGAAGCTAATTATCAAACAGTAAATTCCCACATGTTAACCTGCTCCCAAAATCTGTTTTTAAAAATTGTTATTTCCTGTGATTCATAATGTACAACTCTGGAAATTGCTTACTTTCTTTAAACATAAGAGTATCATTAAAAAGTAATCATTTGTTCTATTCTATGCAGTTCAGGGGACAAATGCCACCTCCCTGTGATCCTGTATGCAAGATGGTTGAGTGGATTCTTACAGTGTGGGATCAACTGAACTCATGTTTGTCACGTCTTGGTGCACCCGAAGCTCTTGTTGGGCCTAGTCATTTTCTTTCTTGTCCGGTGATGCCTGGTCACAATCATGTAACAGTAAAGTAGGTCTTTTATATAATTCTTATTAATGCCATCCCATCCTTTAAATATATTTCCATCTCCAGTATGTTCCAGCCTTCCAATTAATCACTCTTTGCCCAATCATTAACCTGGTTAATATATAACTTCTGCACAGGTAGAAATATTTGGTAATAGTAAATGTTGAAGAACCATCTTAGGCATATTCCCTGAAATATAAATCCCATAGAACTGGGCATTCCTATTCTACAAGGAGAATTCATTGGGACTTATATCTACTAAGTGCATACAAAGTACCAAATTCTGTTCTGTTCTGTTGCCAACCCTATGTATTCACTTACCAGACAATAAGCGCAGATTCACTCTTTCTACTCACTCCATCACAACTATGGGCTACTTACTGCTTCCTGAGCGTGCAAAAGGATGTCCCTTACTCATTCCCAGTCATTGCCAATAGATTATTTGCCAAAGTTTTGCAAAAATGCTGCTACATTCCTTTCAGTCGAGTGACATCACCAACTCAGATTAGCTGCCCCTCCCCCCTCCCTTTGCTTCTATTGACTGGTTCCTGCCCTGTGAAGCCAATGCATCCTGGGATGCCTGCTGTGTTTCCCGCTGTTCAGGAGCTGCCATTTTTAAACTCTCTTTTGTTTGAGTCAACAATAAGCTCTGAAGTCAATGAACTTCCCTCACTCTTTTCCTACCTCCCTAAAAATAACGATTGCATTCAACCTACACATTTCCTTCCTTCCTTCTTTCTTCCCTGGGGGATAGATGTCAACTCTACAACCTTGATTTCTTTGAGGGCTGTCTCACAGGTGCTTGGGTCTGGCTTGGCAGACATTTTGGTGGGTCCTGGGGTCATTTTCTAGCCTGCTGCCCCTCCTTCCTGCCCTAGAAGCAACCTCTGGAGTGTCACTGAGGGCACTGGGTACCCATCTGTACTTTTGAGGTGTCCTTCTTCTCCAGGAAGGATTTTCGCCATCCCTTCCATGGGCGATGCTTGTTTGGGGCAAGGTCCATTTCTACTTCCTCAGCCAGGACATACCCGCAGGTGTTGTAGACTTCATAGACTATCCCATCTTTCAAACAGTGATCAGAATGTCTTGTGGCCGGTTGTTGAGCCTGCAGCAGGCCAGGTCACAGAAGTCCTGTGTGTACTCAAGCCATGCTCCTCCAGCCCCGACTAATGGTTCTGATGCGGTCCTTGACTTTACAGACAGCGAAGGGGTCCTCAAAATGTTTATGCAGCATTGCCATGAAGCCGTTGAAGTTTCTCAGCTCCAAGGCCTCATCATTATGAAGGGTGACCATCCACCTCTCTGCAGTCCCTTCCAGGGCGAGGGTGACACATCTTACCTTGCCAGCTTCCATAGCTATTTCAGGATAATATTCTTGCATATAGGTCCAAACCTGGGCCAGGAAGAACCACAATGTCTGAAGGTTTTCTTCATCAAAGAGCGGTAGGGGTCTTTTCCTTGCTGACGTTAGTCTTACAGGAGGGCCACACTAGTCTGCCCCACCCAGGTGCCAGGGCTGCAGAAGCCGCTGCTGATGCAGATCCAGTCCCACCGTTGCATGCTGAGGGGAATGTGGCCATACCATCAGTCACTGAGGCTGGATCCAGCTGATGCGTCAGACTGGGGGGCTCGGGCAAGACCTTCGTACATCTTGAGGTTCTCGAAAGCCCCCCCCCCCGCATAAATTTGCATAGACTTGTCCAGGAAGTCACCAACAATCAAGAGTGGATCAAAAATTAACTAACTAACTGATATTTGTCACTAAATATTATTAAAGTATATTCATCAGCAACATATATTTTTAAGGGTATCATTTAGTATACATTGACAGGATGTGTAAAAGATAAGGAAATTTAAGATAAGGAAAGATAAGATGATGAGATGAGACCAGAAGAGACAAGAGGAGATGAGATGAGATGGAGATATAGGGAACCCCCACAAAATATAAAGACCTTTGAAAAAACTTTTATCATTGATGAATATATATTTATTAGTTTTTGAGGTTTGTGCAAATGCAGATAGAGGGTCTTTAAACAAAATTCAGCAAACCAGAAATCTTAGCTTTCTATTAGAGAGTTTTTTAAAACCTTTGAGGCAGAGTTCAGGGTCTGTGATCCCAGAGCTATATCTATCTAATAAATCTCATAATCCAGAAGTCATCTAATACTTGCTGCTGAATTTTATCATTTATTTGTACCCCAACGTGTTTATTCTTACAAACAATCCCAAAATATTAAGTTCATTATAACAGTTTATAATTTTTAAAACATTTAACAACCTTAAGTAAAATGTTATTGATTACCATTACTTCTGTGCTGTTTCCATCACATGACTCTAAGCACCTTACAATGCAGTTACAATACATCAAAATTATTAGACATATTAAAATATTGACTAAGGTTGATAAAAACAAAACCCACCTAGGATCACTGTGCCAGACTGGATCAAATGGGTGGGGCTGAGATAAGCTTAACTAAATTTCTGAGAGGACAGATGTTTCTTAAGCTGTTACTTTTTAATATTCTCAAAGGGAAAGAAAAAAAATACTAGGAAGTAATCATGCTGAAATGTTTAATTACGTTAAATCAAATTCTAGGTTTTGCCTGACCTTGTTCATCAGAGATGAGTTCTGGTCCTTTGCTCCAAAGTGTTGGGCACTCCTGCCTTTCCATTAGTAAGATGGATAGTAGTAATAGTGAGAAAGTCCTGCTTATTTTGGGCCATCCATCACTCATATTTAACACTGCTTTTAAGGCTTCCCAACAGTTTAAAAAGCTGAACTGTCTAGCGTATAGCTGGCTGTTATCCGAACCCTCTCTGTCCGCCTCAATTGTCAGCCTTTACATTTGGGATAAGGATGGATCTTTTGGGAAATTTTGCTTCAAAGATTGCTGATATACTGTGCTTGGATTTTCATAGGAAGAAATAGTCATCTTTTCCATGGGAGGGGGAAAATGTGTGTGTGTGTGTGTGTGTGTGTGTGTGTGTGTGTGTGTGTGTGTTGAACAGACTGAAGAACAACAAAATGTGGGTGATGATATTAAAGATATATTCCTATTTCCTTACTGCCATGCTGCTTCTTAAGTTCTAATACACCAATGCTTCTCTTTTTGGCTTTAATTCAGATTTTTTTTTTTCAATTTCAATTTATAAGCTGGTCATAAGGAATGTTTTGAAACACAGCCAAAAAGAGCTTTCTTACAGGGATGGTTAATGTAATCACTTGCCTCTATCTTGTCAGAAGAAGGCCTATAGTATTGTTAAGACCAGTAAATCTATCACAGCACAAGCTTTCAGCAGTGCACTTCGTTAAAGGTAAAATATTTTGGTCCAAGGTATTATAAATATTTTAGTCCAAGCTGTTATAATGATCCACAAGCTTAGTTATGAAATAGGGAATTATAAACACTGAGGTTAGAGGGAAATTAAATGCAGGAAGTACAGTTTTCAGTTTAACTCTTCTCTTTAATTTGTCCTATTCGTGAATTAAATATGAAGAAAGAAGAAAAAAGAAATGGAAATGAGGTAGGGAAGGCAGATTTGTTCAAATTCAACCTACAGAACAAACTTAGTACCTCTCCCTAATTTTAAATGAAATCCTTTGATAAGGACATCCTTTGATATCCCTCTTCCCTCTCCCCCTCCCCCAAAAAAGGGGGAGGACTCACATTTCTAAGAAATCCCAAATGCAAGAGCTGGCCAGCGTTAGTAGGAAAGTGCGAACCATAACAAGAGGTATCTTTACCGGTATTTAAGCAATGAAAAGCTTTTGACTGCTACTTTCATTCTAGATACGGGCTGTCAAAGTCCCGACCCGCTGGCTGGATGCATCACGCACTGGCCACGCCCACGTCTGGTTTAGCAAAGGGGGGAAAAGTCTGATGTGTCACATGACACCGCTGTGACAACATGAGTTTGACATCCCTGTTCTACATCTTTAGGAGGTTATAACCGACCGACCTTTCTAGTTTTGAAAGTTATTTTTAAATATTTCTTTTTTTTTTTAAATAATTCCCCAAAGAGAAACAAGATGAATGTTTTGTTTGTATTAGAATATATTAACTTGTTTAGATGGCAGTTCTGACGCTGATAAATGATTAGCCTTTATCATGGTTCAGGTTGAAACTTCCTCTCTTTTATTTGGGAGTAATCTCTTGTTCTAAAGACCGTTATTTTCATCTTCTTTGAACTCTGCTTTCTCGTACTTTAATACCTGCTGCATATGCTGAAATCTTCTGGGACAAATCTTTTCTGAGTAGATCTCATCTCCTTCCCATATATTCATATCTACAAATTTATGCCATAAGCTTAATCATAGTATTGTATAATGATTGTTATAATATACCAGTGACACTATACTAGCATTAATGTGCTGGTACCTGTATTTCCACAAAAGTAAGGCTGGGTCTTATTTTCGGGAAAACACGGGCACCAGCACATTAATGCTAGACCAGGTCTTATTTTCTTTTGGTCCCCCAAATAAGCACTGTGTCTTATTTTCAAGGGGTGTCTTATTTTTTTCCCCATGTATGGAGGCCCAGTTCTGCTTGCTTGCAGTGGAGCAAGAGGCTACGTGGTGTGCCAGTGCCCCTGCTGCAAGGCGGGGGTTGGTGGTGGTGGAGCTGCCCCATGCACCCTGCCCTGGCTTACCTACAGCCAGGCCACCCATGCCCCAATACCCGCCTCACCTTGTGGCGGTGGTTTCAGCAGCCCCATCCAGCAGGATGCTGTGTCGCCGCCAGCCCTCTTCTTCTGCATGCTTACAGCTGCAATGGTGAGGAGGCTGAGTGACAACGCTGGTGCTGTGGTCGTGAGGCGAAGTGAAAAGAGCTGCACTGGCTTACCTCAGGGGCCCCCACAGCCAGGCCATCCACACCGCGACACCTGCCTCAACTTTGTAGCCAGGGCACCAGCACACTGCTTGGCCTCCTGCTCTGTCGTGGCTGCGAGCAAGAAGAAGAAGTGGGCTGGCAGCCGCGTGGGCTCCTTCTGCACATGGCAGCTGGTGGTGCTGCTATGAAGCAAGCGCGGATGGCCTGGCTGCCGGGGTCCTGAGGTAAGCCAGTGCAGGAGGCGGGGTGGGGGGCAGCTTCTCCACCACCTCACCTCGCCTCATGGCCACAGCACCCTGACCAGATGGTATGTCCGGCTGCGTAGGCTTTTAAGTAGGGCTTATTTTGGGGGTTAGGGCTTTTGGGGGGTATAGTGGAATAATAAACATGGGAGGACCCAAATAAAGATTCTATCTTCACCGTCGAAATTCTCCGATTTACCATGACCAATTATTCTTTTTTTAACCTGCCTACCTATTTCACCCATGAATTATTACAGGAGGGAAAAAAGAATGGAATACTGTCTGTGAACTATTGGATAAAGTATCCAATCAGGGTCAGTCACATGGACCAGAGGTTTAGTATTCAGAGCTTTAGGACTCGTGCTGGAGCCCATTCTCAGGCAACTTTTGGTGGAGAGAAAGTCCCCTGAGGATGGATTCCAACATGAGACCGAAAGCTCAGAAGACTCAACCTCTAGTCCTGGTGACAAACCCAGATTGGATCCTGCAATATTATCCTGGGACACACATACAGGTAGTCCTCGATGGATGGCCACCAATTTATGTTCTGAAGTTTTGCCTCATTTTACAACATTTCTTGCCGCAGTTGTTAAGTGGAATCACTGCAATTAAATTAGTAACTTGGTTGTTAAGCGAATCTGACTTTTACATGGACTTTGCTTATCAGAAAGGTTGCAAAAGGTGACATGACCCCAGGCCACTGCAACAGTCGGAGATACATGCCCGGAGAATTTTGACCCTGGGGGTGCTGTAACAGTTATTAATGTGAAAAACTTTGTCCAGGGCCATTGTAACTTTGAATGGTCACTAAATGAACTGCTGTAAGTCAAGGACTACCTGTATTTGCCTTCATTCATTCCGAATAAAAGTTGGACTATAATTCAAATTTTTTTTTAAAAAAATATTCCTTTTCTATAATCCATTGGTTTTACAGTCAGTGCCTTTTTGTGCCAATTCAATGTCAGAGTTCCCTTCCCCCTCAACAGCTTTGGACAACTAGTTTTTTTAATAGTTTGAAGAAAATCAGTGCTTTGAGTCAGGTAGCATTTTGATGCTGATTTATAAGCCCAAACTTCAACTAAAATTTTGTCACAATGATGCTGCTTCTTTGAGTACTTTTTTTTTTTTAGTGAATATCACTCTTATTGAGAAGAATAACAAAATGGACATGCTACCACATTGAATGGACTACTGTAGATAAAACCATTTGTAACTTGAATAGCAGACTGGTAGTTAGATCTGTGTTAGCCTTACCCTTTCCTTTATATTGTATGGAGTGTATGGACGTGATAGTTAATCTCTTCACCCTATTTCTTTTTTCCTTCTACTTCAAGGTGGATGTCAAAATTGTGGAATGCCATTATTGCTCCCAGAGTCCAAGAAGCAATTCTCTCCAGGGCTTCTCTGAAAAGATCATCCACATCTGGACAAATGGCAGTCAAAAAATGTCCAAGCCAAGGGCAGCAGGCAGTAGTAAAAGCTGCACTCAGCATCTTGTTAAATAAAGCAGTTCTGCACGGATGCCCTCTTCCCAGATCAGGTAAGCTGTGGTCATTGTGTAAGTCTCTGGAACATTTACTTTTGCTGTTGTGATCTTTTAGTTTTCTTTGCATAAGCTTTTTTTGTTTGTTTGTTAATTCCTGGGATCATGAGCTTAGAGTGAAAATAAGGTCAGAATGAAACTCAGTGGGAAAAAATATTCTTTTAAACGAAAGATTTAATACCTTGACAAACTTGCCCTGCACTTCCTTAATACTTTGGCAACCACGTTGGACCGCTATATTGTCGCCTGCTTCTTTCATTTCCATCATTACAGAAATGGAGCTGTACCTTGCAGATTTTAAGGGAGGAAACTTTCCTCTCTCTATGGTGACAAACTACAAGAATTGCCCCAAGAAAAAAGGAGAAAATGTTGCTTGGAAAAAAACAAACACAAGTCCACGTAAGAAGTCACTCCACTCATCAGCCCAGTCCTGGAGTAAGCCAGAGGGAGGGGCAGAAGGTAAAACACTGGTGGAAATTGGGAAGCAACAGGGATGATTTATTTGGACACTTGAAAACCCCTTATTGGCATTTAAAAAAAAAAACAGTCAAGGGCTTTCATTTTTTTACCTTTTTTAATCAACCGTGTTTAAATCCATTAAGCAATTTTGGAATATAAATTTTCACACTTGTCCAGGAATAGTTGCAAGATGGAAAAAAAGATGGACTTACGGTCCTTTCTCTCCCATAGGTATTAAATCAAATAATATATTGAAGGAAAATGGGAATAAGGTGTCTTCCTTAGAAAAAAAGTAAGTTCTGTGTTTGCATGTGATGTCTGGCCCCTTCTCAAGGAGATTTCAGAATACAATTTTGTAGCCATCAAATCAATCAATACATCATACTTGTCACCTAGTATATGTGTCTCCATTATTGCACAGAAATTATAGCAGTCAATACATCTTACACAATTTTAATATGATGGCTGGATTTTGTAATGAAAACCATGTTCTCTAGGCCTTTTACAAATACAAATTTTTTTCTAATATTGCCAAAATATTGCAAAATATTAAAAACAAATCAGTGAAAGAAATGTGGAGAGTTTACTCTGAATATCATATTGGATGGTATTCCAATATGATAATCAACTTGGATTATCACATTTTCTCAATTGAAACTATGTCTTAATCTCTCTATGCGTTGTGAAATTAAAGAATTTTCGTCCTGTCTTCTGCTTGCCAGTTGGTGTTCATGGATGCGTTCTGCCAGCCTTCTGCCAGTTTGTCCAACGTAGTGGTTGTTGCAGTCCTTACATTATATGTTGCAGATAACTCCTGTTTTTTGTTTTTGGGTTGTTGGGTCTTGATGTGTGCTTAGGATGTTTTGAAGGGCTTTAGTTGGCTCCACTGATTCTATGTGTTGTTAATAGTCTATTTGTGGTTTCTGAGATATTCTTGATGTGTGGCAGTGTAATTCCTTTTAGGGTTTGTGTTGGTTGTGCTGTATTGGGTTGAGTGGTCAGTCACTTTTTAATAAAGTTGCGTGGGATATCCATTTTGCTGGAAAGTATCGTATAGATGCTCCATTTCCTTTTTCTGCTGTTCTCGTTTGAATAAAATCCTTACACCACTTCTCTTGCAGAAGGTTGGATTGTTGCTTTGGTAGTGGAACACCTGGTTAGCATGGATTTTTTTCTGTAGACTTGCATTTCTAGTTTGCCATTGTGGTTTCTGCTGATCAGGATGTCCAGGAAGGGTAGCAAGTTGTTGTTTTCTTCTTCCCTAGTAGATAGTTTTAGATATGAACAAAGTATGTGAAAGCCGTTTTTCCCAAAATGTTCCATTTGGATTGATCATTAGCTATTGTATATTTCATTTCTGTCTGAAAGAAATCTCTATTTATACACTATAAACATTTTTGTAAAGTCCTTGGTGTTCTCTGAGTTTCATTGTTTGCTTTCAGACATTTCATTACCTGAGTTGGTAACAGTGTGTGATTTGCTCTCTGGCACTCACTAGCACTGATGATATTACCTAGCTGAGTAATGAAATGTTTGCAAGCGAACAATCAAGCTAAGACAGCACCAAGGAGCTACACATATTATCTTCAAATGGTACCCTTTATTTTAAAACCTGTTTAGAAAAAACGAGTTGAAATACTTTCAGCCAACTAAAAATAGGCCTAGATTGAATTTTTTATTGCATGAATCTAATTATCTTGCCCTGCTTCCGTGTATACTTTCTCTATTAAACTGTAAGAGATAAACAACATTGTCTTAACTCCATCTTATAGATTGTCATCTGCTATATTTTTCAACATAATTTTGTTTTTCTTTCCAAGGTCTCCCAACGATGATCCATTAAATGTGTTAAACCTGGAACAGAGACTGACTATTGGTTCCGATGGTGAAGTGGACTTTCTGCACGAACTTCAGAGTATTTGTTTAAGCAAATCGGAATCTGACATCAGTAAAGTATGTATTATTCTCTTCCACAAATAGTAGTCAGCTCTACATTACTCTATATTCTATTTTCTTTTCCTTGTATTTTCTCTAACCCCTGCAAAAATTTCCAAGCTTTCTTATGTAATTTTGCCTTTGATTCTTACAGTTACACTGTGTACCCTGTGCTGTATACTTCGGCCTGCCTTCCTCTTACCATCTGCTGTGGAAGTTCTTTTCAAAGTATCTCGCATACAATATGTGTTAATCCACAATCACCATTCCCTGTTATGTTGCCTCATAGAAGTCTTGACTAGCACTGAGTATATATATTTGGCATGTTCAGTTAAAAATGTTTGTTCATATGTAGCTAGTATTCTTTTCTGGTACTGCCTTTTCCGTTACTTTATGACTATTCGGTTTGTTTTAATTGAATTTTAGGACTATATGTAAGGTGACCAACCGTCCTCCTTTAGGGAGGACGGTCTTCCTTTTGTAAGTTCTGTCCTCTCTTGAAAAGTGTCCTTCTACGTGTCCTCCTTTTTGATATTTGAAGGCTAATCTGTAAATCTCCATATTTGATCGATGCCGATCCGTTGTATGTGATGTGACATATTTGTATTTGACATGACGATTCGTCAAGGCTCGGTACAATGCGGAGAGATGTGACTGTGTGTTCCACAAAGGAGAATAGTTTTGAGAGAGTGTGCCACGCGCAAGAGTGCACCGTGTGCAAGAGTGCACCTCACGCAAGAGAGCGCGGCGTGCAAGAGTGTGCCACACGCAAGAGTGCGCCATGCGCAAGTGGCTTTTTTTCTTCCCTTCAATTTATTTGTGTCCTCCTTTTCATTGTAAAAAAGTTGGTCACCTTACTATATGACCATTTTTTATTTCACCTTCATACCTTTGAATGGAGAGCTGATCGAGTTTTCATTATCATCAGGATGATTAGATCAAATCCAGCCTGTCCAAAAATGTATTTCTCATCTTTCATCTTCCTTTCTTTCTCTTCATATATTTTGAGCATTCATAAACTTTGCCCTCTTCCATTTTAGACACAGCTTTGATTTCTGTCCCTCACTTTGTTCTGATCGTGAGGCCTTTTTGGCAGAGATTACTGGATTCATTCCACTCCCATGCCAACTATAACCAACGTTGGCCTGTGGAGGGAAACACAAAATTGACATCTAGCTGATATTCTACCCCTTCTTGTTCCTCTTTTCCTAGCCTTAATTTTCACCCCAAGTAAATCAACAGTTTAAATCAAGAGCTAATGTGGTGTAGTGTATCAGGCTAGAAATGAGGAAATTGTGAGTTCTAGGGTCATCCTAGGAGCACAAAAGCCAGCTGGGTGACCTTGGGCCAGTACCTCCCTCTTAGCCCCAGAAGGAGGCACGGTAAACCACTTAGGAAATTGTACCAGGAAAACTAAGGTGTCCAGGCAGTTGCCAAGAGTCAACCAAACTACAAAGCATGCGCGCGCACACACACACACACACATGCACACACACGTGCACAAAGAAACACACAAACAAAACCAGACAATATAACCCTTTTTTGTGGGAGGAGGAAGAAGAGGCAATAGCAAAGCAATGCATCTTCACTATCAACAATCCTGAAAACTGGATGGCAGAGTAAGGTGGAAGTACTTACCTGTGAGAAATTGCCTGTCCCCAAAAATGTCTTTGTATTATTTCCTCTGGAGCAGCAATTGAGCAAAACTAATTACCTCCCTAAGTTAATTGACTCTGCATGCAAAGACCATTGAAAGTCCATTGAGGGCACTGTGGAGACGTGTAAAGGCAATACTGATTTTGATCAGCAGCACTTTTGCATCGGGAAAGGTCTTGAGTCTATCATTTTAGTCAGGTCATTTCTCTGTTTTGTCCTTTCAAAAAAGAAGAGTGATTTATTCTTATGTGACTGCCCCCCCTGTAGCTTTCTCTTTGATTCCATTGTATGGCCTTAGCATGCTACCCTATATGCAGAGCTCTGCCAAAATAAGCCAATTCTTCTGTTATTGAGATGGCACCTGTCCTTGAATCGGCTTATTATTTTTTAATCAGCTTATTTTTTTTCTGTCTCGGATCTAGCAGAATATACCTCCCTAGGGTCTTTTTTCTTCTTCACTCCACCATCTACCACTCTCCAAAAGTCTTTTTTTTTTCCTTTTTTTCAAGCGTGTGTCTCCTCCTCGGTGGTTCAGATTTCATTTTGTATTGTATAAATTAACTCATGCTCAGACAGATGTCATAATACAGAAAGTCTTAAACTTTCTTTTAAATAGTGAGGACAACCACAGATTTTACATTGGTTTAAGAATGTGTTTAGAAACTTGCATTTGTCACATGGGGAATTGGGGAAGCCCATATGTGTATCTCTTCTGTGTTTAGATTTCATATATATTGTATAAATTAATTCACCTGCAGAGAGATACAACAATGGGGAGACTCCAAATTTCGCCAACAAAATTCTTGTGAGGTCTTGGTGCCCCCTGACCTTGGTGGTTTTCTTGCAGACATGTCTTTCTCAAACTAGATAATTTCATTAGTCCTAGAAAGTTTTCTTGTAGATGTCATGGATTTATTTGTCTGAAGCTAAAGCTGCAAGGCAAAATCTGAATCCCAAACTTTCTCACCCAGTGTTTGCAAGATTTTACTGAATAAATATAGCAATTTAAAAAAGAAAGATTGGCTTATGGATATTCTTTAAACATTACATTTTAAATTAATAAAACATTGAATGCGTATTTATTAAAGACTAGGAATACCTTTGGTAATTCAGGAAAAAAATGTATAAATCTTTCATGCAATGATGTATTTTAATACAGTATCTCTAAGAGTATATGGTTGGTAAGGCTTTATATTGTTAGAAATTCCAATGTAAGAACGACCCTCCCCTCTTCTTGACTTATCCATTTTTCACAGATAATAGATTCAGAGGAAGAGTTGCTTCTGACAATCAGCTCTCCTCAGAAGGATCCAGTATTTTCAGCAAACATCAGGAATGCAAACATCACATCACAGCAGGTACATAAGAAGCTGCAGGGCACGTGATAGAAGTTTGCAGTGCTTGTTCAGCTCTTTACATTTGAAAAAAGTAGGACAGTTCTGAGCTTAACTGAACCTATGTTATGGGTATATTATTTTGTATGTAAGATGTTTTCTGTCAAGGAGACAAGAAAAAGCATTTTAAAAAGAGCATCCTCTGAAGAAAAGAGTGGAGCAGCTCAGCATTTTGAGGAGAACGTTGGGTTTTGGCCATTGAAATACACTGGTGTCATGCAGTGAGTTTTCCAGATGGCTGCAATTGTCATGGAAACCAAGAAGACGTAAAGGAAGTGACTGCCTGAAATAGAACCGAGGAGGGAGGCTGATAGAAGATGTGGAGTTATTGAAGGGCTTCTCTGTTTCTTCTCTGTCCCCCGCACCTTCCACCCCGCCCAGAATTTTCTCTGGAAAAGAAGGAAGGAGGACGCAAACAGAGAATCCAGCTTGGAAACATTTGCACAAAAAAAAAAAAAAAGGCCGAGGCCTTTATGAGATTCTGGTTTTAGGCAAACAGGAGACCCAGAGGAAACTGAGGAGAGAAAGGTTGCAATGAAAAAAAAAAGCAGGCAGTGTGCAGAAATGTTCGTCAGTGGCTGATCTGGTAGTTGAATTCCGGAATTTTGCATTATTGATTTGTTTAAAATTCACATAGCTTATACATTGCTTCAGCCACAAACACCTCTAAGCAGCATGTACAGTACTCCCATGCAATGATAGAATGAAAAAATAGAGTAATAGACAACCTCTTGGGTCATCATTTCTGAGATATTTATTGACCAGATTCCTCAATGTTTTCAACCATAGCAACACTTCTAATGTACTTGAAAAGAAGTGTCCGAGGATGTCAGATCCGTGTATCTGTCATTTCTTCAGTGGAAGAAGAAAAGGGGGGGGAGGCTGATAAAGAAATCCTTTCTTGATGTAACCTGAATATATTTAATCTTATATCGAATTTGTATAACCAACACATGATACAATGGCCGGAACCTATCACCTCTGAGAGGCACAGCCAGAGGATGAGAAGACCATAAAAATTCCACAGTGAGACGTGTCCTGGGAACCTCTGGAAAAGTTCGTTCTGAAAAGAGGGTGGGTGGAAATTAGGTATGCCCTGGGAAACTGTGAAAAAGATCGTTTCTACAAAAGGGGTGGGGAGGGAATTAACATAGTGGCTTTTGTTTCACTAAATACACATCGAGATAAGGGGAGGGGTTCTAAACTCCCTTATCTCTCCCTGTATGCCTGAGAGACCTTAGACGCTGCTTTGAACTCCTACTTGAATTGTCTCATCTCAATAAAGGATTCCTTTTGAGACGTTTTGGTTTTCAGAAGTTCATTCTTGTTAATTGAATGGGAAAGAAGTTCTGTAGCCTGACACAACGACCGCAGGCAGGGCCTTCTGATGCAGGATGGTCATAACTGGTGGGAGTTATGCAAAGGCCATGGTGGTACCTGCTCAGATCATATCGGTGAGTTCAGAAGAAATGTGCTGATCTGGCTGGAGACATTTTATGGAACTTTTGACAGAATTGCCTGCTGTCATTTTAAAAAATATCTCCCACCACTTAAACTGAAGAAACTCGCATATCAAATAAAAACATTCCATTGGGACAGCAACAATAATCCAGTCACTGCTACTTACTGTAAGAAAATACAATATTTCTATTCATTTGGAAGGAAAAGGAGGCTCCCAATACAAAATCTAAAAGATTTCTTACCCAAATAATATGAGATTAATACAATTTCATATTTAATTTACAGGTGTGTCATAATAACGAGATGACAAGTGTATAATTTTTGGATACATTTAATTATTACTTCAGTAGTGCTTCTGCCTCTGTTGCTGCATCTACTGCAGATAAATACTAGTCACAATGACTTACTTGTTTAAGAAGAAACAAAACGTGTCTGAATCGTGTCCAGAATTGTGCTCTGATGCAAAGAAATTTCGGCAGCATTTAGCACCTTTTAGCTTTTGCTTGTGAAGGTCGTGCGTTTATTAGCGGGTTTCTCTCACAAGTAGAAAGCTGCAGGCGAGAGAGAGAGAGAGAGAGAGAGAGAGAGAGAGAGAGAGAGACTGTCACCCTTCAAAGTTATTTAATATACTTTACTTCCCTCCATATACTGTCTTTTTTAATGGATAACTCCGTGTGAATTCAGGCTGCTCAATCACAGACTGATGTGCTTTCTTTGCTGTTGTTTGGGCAATTGCATATGATGCTATAAAACCTTATTCTATTTGCAGGATGAGAATCCTGAGGTCTGTCCTCTCAGCAGCAGCAGCAGCCAATCTGCGGAATGCAGCAACCATAAATCCAAAATGGAGTCTTCTTTCAAGAGCGGCAGCGGCAGCATTTCAAGAGTGAAATCTTTTCTTCCTGTGCCCAGAAATAAAGTCAGCCAGTTTTCTCAGAACATTAAACGCAGCAGCAGCAGCAGCAGCAATACAAGGCAAACAGAGGCAATCTGTGACTAGAAAGAAGAAATTTGGAACACGCGCACACGCACACACACACAAAGCAAATAAAGGTTCATTTCCTTTTCTGTCTTCCCTAATGAGTTATCTTGGAAAACAAAATTCATCTACAGGTGTAAATAATTTTTAATATAATTTCCCCAGTTCTAATATACCCGTGGGACCACAGTTTTACTTTTATGCCAACATGCTGTTTATAATGAAAATATTATCCTGTATTATACTGATTGATCTTTAGAAGTAAATGGTGATAGCTTCATACATGCTTTTTTTTTTTTTTTAATCTGAAAGTGCTTTTCTGCTTCGTTATAATTAAGAGATCACCATAGAAAGTGCGTGTATGGGTGTGTATAATAAAATTTTAAATAAATATATTGGGTCTGATCCAGAGATACCTGTATATAAAAGAACTAGTACTCTGTGGAATGCTTCAGTGGATGCAGATAACTAGTTTGACACAAAAGGCTGTCTATCAATATTCCATTGTTAGTGCAGCCAGTTGTAAATATGCATCATTTTACATATTCTGAGATTAATATGCAGGTTCATATTGCTAGTCTTTATTGGATTTCCATGTAGTAGGGTCTGATGTAGATTTCTCTGCATGGAAAGCTAAGCGGTTCAATCTACTTCTTTCCTCCTCTCCCCCATATGAGAACCTGCAAAGTGTTTCTCACCAATAAAGTCTATTCTGTGTAACGTCCCAACCGCCTACCGAACGGGATCACTTCCTTAGGACAATAAAGTTTTATCTAGTTCTATACTGAATTCCAGTGTTTCATACTCTTTGGGTTGCACAATTCTGTACAGAAGTGTCTTAAAGTTAATATATATGGAAAGGCAAAAACAAAAGCAAAAAACCACCAGGTTCACTTTCTGAAAAGTGAGTGGCATGTGGCAATAATGGGAAGAACTGGGACTACAGGTCAGTTATTTTAAGTGAGAAAAACCACATTAAATATTCCGGTTTACCTGTATTATTGGATAGTTTCATGTGTGTTTGTTGTTTGGGTTCTGTGTCCTTTTTCGTTAAAAGCAAAAATCCTACAGCCCTCCTTAAGAGTAAAGTCTGATTAGTGATCTGATAATTGGGGTGGGGGTGAGGAAGGGTTAGAGAGAAATCTCCCTTAAACTCAACTCTATTTATATCATTCCCTATAATTACAGCAATAGCACTTAGACTTATATACCGCTTTATAGTGCTTTACAGCCCTCTCAAAGCGATTTATAGAGTCAGCAGATTGCACCCAACAATTTGGGTCCTCATTTTACCCACCTCGGAAGGATGGAAGGCTGAGTCAACCTGGAGCCTGGTGGGATTTGAACTGCCAAACTCTAGGCAACTGGCTGCAGAGGTAGCTTGCAGTCCTGCAGTCTAACCACTGCGCCACAGAGGCTCCCGTGTTGTAATTATTATAATTATGATAGAAAGTTCCTCCTATTTCACCAATATTGACCTGCCAGGAATTTATGCTATTTTACCCAGAAAATTTTCTTCCTTGTTAGCAATACAGCTCCATACAATCGATAATCGAGAAAGAAAGAAGCTGCAATAACAAAAATTACCTCTTTCTTACATGTTGTCTGAAAGGACATTTCCCCCTGGGGGAAACTTCTGTCTTCTATACTGCATTCTTTTCCCAGAGTGTAGCTTTTCAGCATTCATGGTGGACCTTCCTGTTCCTTCTTCCTGGGATATCTTTATGAAAGACACAAATGCCTTAAAAAAATAAAAAAAAGGTTCTCTGTGACCTGAAAAATTGCTAGGTACTGACTGACAACATTCTAAAGCTATTCAACCCAGTATCTTTGCAAGAGCATTTGTAAAAGTCAAGCAGTTAAAAGTTAAATAATCTGGTATTTCACCTATCATGCCAATAAAACCTTTTGTACTGCAGTTTCTGCAATACCTTTGTTTCTGTGTTATGTGTGTTTGCGTAGTTAGTTTTTTTTTTTCTGTCTCCATGTGCTAAAGCTGGAATTTGATATGTTAATTTTTGAAGGCTTGCTGCTTTCTTATTTTAAAGCAGAATGAAACAACCTTATACCTCACAGGCTTCAGGGGGAGGTTAATTAGGGTTGAAAGTAAGTGAGACTTGGACTACTTTGGAAGGATGCTCAAGATAAAACCAGTCTTGACTTCCAATAAACTCTGAGTTTTCCTCCTTCCAGAAACACATATTTTCATGCACACTTGGTAGTCAAATGCATTCTTGGGGACAATTGGCACATAGAGACAAAAGAGGATAACACTATAATCCTTACATTAAGAAGATAGAAATATAGCAGAATTGCTACAACACGGAATGAATGAAATGGTTCTTCCCCTAGTGCGGATCCATTGTTTAGAAGAAAATTCTTAAACAATTTTGTCAACAACATGGACTAACTTCTAAAGTTCACGTGTGCTGGAAGGTATTTTCCTGCTATACTTTTTATACCTTGGTTTTCCAGAGTTACGCATTTCAGATAATTTCTAATAAACAAAAGTTTGTTTCCAAAAGCAGTTACTATTAAATCGACATGATTTGGCTCAGTGCGTTGAAAGTTGCTTTTGGGTAGTTCATACAATCTATGAATTTTTTTTAAAGAATTAAGCTATTTAATAGGTTCCTTAAGGAAAAACAATCTGCATGAAAGACTTTCTTGGTCATCCAAGTCATGGTCAAAGAATGCAAATGACCAGCTCTGTCTGCAAGGAGTATAAATCCTTCCATTCCCCACTCTCCAGTCAGAGCTGAAGAAGCTTCTTGGATGAGAAGTGAAACATCTTCAAAGACAAACTAGAAAGTCCAATTGCCTCTGTAAAAAACACCTTTGGGACAATAAGTATTAGATAGTAGATGAAATGAAAAATTAGTTAAACCTGACATATTAATGACATGGAAATGGCTGGTGCCATACAGTCAAGATTTTAATAGCTATTTGTCCTAATGCATCCACTTTTCATTTAAATCCCTATGAAAAGGAGAAATGTTTCTCTGTATTCCAGCCTGAAATTCAATCCGGTCATTTTCTTGAGTTCATCGTATCTGTGATTAAAAACTTAAGTTATTTTTTTGTAACTTCTGCACTATTATAACCTTAGGGGAACTTAACCATCAAATTACTGCTACTTGTCAACAATCCCTACCAGTTTAAAAGTATTCAGGCTGTCACACTTCCAAGATCATGTGCTTCTACAAAATTATCCCAATGCAGAAACCCAGATCCAGTGTTGTCAGGAAGATGTCAGAAGTCCAAATCAAATAGCAGGTAATAGTAAGGATGCTGCCACGAATCTCTGAAAATAAATTGGCCTTCTTGAAGTCATTACTAGAAGATAAAGAACCTGAAGCTCTTCGGGTAATTTAACATTTTTCCACAATTCCACGCAATTGGTCTTTTGCACCTGGGAGTGATAGGCATGGTACAAACACTTGGAAGGCATCAGTTGTTTATCTCCCTGAATGCAGTCGTGATATGCGGTCTTCATCCTGGACTCGGTGCTTTTAAAATTAGCTTGCCTCTCACGCAAGCTCTGTCCGAATGTGAAGCTCAAATGTTTGAATGCCCACTGTATTCTCAAAATAAATCACTGGTGTGAACAGGATCAGCACATTGTATAGCTTGTCCCAAAATGACTGTTGTTCGGAAATCTCTATACTCTTGCAGTTCAAATTCCCAAGAATACAAGACACCAGTTGACTAATTTTTTTTTTTATATCAAATGAAGTGTTTTATTTTTTAAAAGATGCCATGCAATTTTTTTCCCCAAATACGTTGAAATGAGCATCACTAACTGAAGAGGTTTAGAGTGTTTCTAGAGTTGGCTTCTATTATCCTGTCCCTTTGCCTTATACATGGAAACGTACATGAGGTCCACCATATTCCTCCTGCATCCTTCTTGCAAAAACAGTAGAGCTGTTACAAAGCTTTGTGATCAGTGGTAGGCATCCTTTCATCCTCAGAAAGCAGCTTCTTCTTGGATAGTTATGGCTTAGGATTACTGTTCTAATTTAATTAGGATGTCTTCATTTCTGTTACTTTTTTGCTGTCTTAAAATTTGTAATAAATTTTTGACCCTTGAAAGAAAGAGGCATTTCCCCTATCTCATTGTGTGCATTTGGGATTATTTTTCACAGAGCAAAATTCAACATTGTGCATTTGTTTTACTGCTGCCATTGCTGAAAATAACTATCATAGTTTAGGTTTGTTCTGTTTCCCCCCCCCCCCCGCATTCCCCAATTTTTGCATATATTTCTGTCACACACACACAACTGTCACACAAAAAAACCTATTTTTTTGCAGGGGTGTCTGCAAAATATGGTTATAAAAGTGAAAATGGCTGTCATGAAGGTCTGATTGAAGCTTTGCCTAATTTTTCTGTTGAAAAAAATTCTTGTGTTACAAGTGGAGCTTCAGCTGCAGTGTTGGCTGCCATCTTGACTTGTATTTATTTATTTATTTTATTTTAATTTTATTTTACCCCCAAAACTTTAACCTTAGACTGTCTACTATTGACCTCACCCCTCTCCTAAGAGGTCTGTAGGGGGCGTGCATAAGCGCACCAACGTGCCTACCGTCCCTGTCCTATTGTTTCTTTTATATATATATATATTTATTTTTCTTATATGTATCCATGTATTCATAACTATGTTTTTACTTATACCTATTATCTTGTAAGCGATTGACAAATAAAAATAAAATAAAATATTTATTGTGAAGCCCTCCACACAATGTGCTTCAGAGTAATGCAGCTATAGAAAATCTCTGTTTGCTTACAGTCTTTATAACAACCTTTTCCAAAATCCTTTCTCTCTTTGCTCCACCTCAGTCTCTAAGTGCTACCTTATGTTTTAAGCTGTATGCAAGGAGTTAGTGACCGCCTTGTTTAGTGACCTTTCACAATTAAATGAAAAAGTAACGTTACTACCGCTCCTCACATTTACCATCTTTGCAGAAAAGGAAAGCAAGACGGCTGAAGTAACATTATAAGCAGTTTCATTTGGTGGCCACTTCACTTAATGGCTGAGTTTCAGGTACCAA